TTTTAAAGGAAGAGGTTTATATTATCTCTAGTTAGGATCTGCTATATTGCTATTACCTTTGCTCTTTAAATAAAAAAAAGAATAAATTGGTTATTTTGCTTTTATTGGAATTCATCATGTATTTTTTAATGAGAAAGAAATAGTGTACAAACAGATTAATTTTGCTTAGAATTTGAGGTTACCTATTTCTTGGTTCTGTTTAGTGAAAATTTTAAGTCAGTAGTAAACTGTCTAGCTTGCTCTTAAGCTATTGTGTGTGTGTGTGAACTATTCTAAACATTCTAGTAGAAGTCTACATAGGATATCAATTTGATTACATTTATCTTTTCAGTAGATTCATACCACAAGAACCCAAGATGATTTGTTCCTGTAGTTTTTAATTTTGCGTACTTTGCGATGTTCAAATTTATAAAGATTATTTTAATTAAATTGGTAATTGTAAAGGTTAGCATTGGTTTATTTATTTTTCCCCCGTATGATAATTTCAACTTTTACAGATTTCTATAATCCAAAAGTCTAGAAACTATTTGAGAAGGTTGTTAATTAAAGCAAAGAATGAGATGGGGAAGGGATTTGAAGGAACACTGGGGGTAAATCATTGCTTTTGAGTCAATTCTGACTCATGGTGACCCCATTTATGTCAGAGTAGAACTGTGCTTGATAAGAGTTTTCAATGGCTGATTTTTTCTGAAGTAGATTGCCAGGCCTTTTTCCCAAGGCACCTCTGGGTGGACTTGAACCTCCAGTCTTTCCATTAGAAGCCAAGTGCATTAACCATTTCCACTATCCAGGGACTCCATGCTTGGAGTAGAGCAGAGTTATTTAGTTCAAGCATGTTTGTAGGACAAGAAGGCAGAAGCAGTGGTAAGTAGTTGCAGAAGGGATAGAGGGCTAATAACGGGTGAAGAAAGATTACAGAAGAAGCTGAGTGAGGTCTGAATTGAATTACGGAGCACAAGAATTTTAATGAAACACATTCTTACGTAAAAAGACTAATGCAAAGACTGTAAGGGGTGGAGAGATGGGTTGGTACTTTATGTTGTTACTAGATGCTGTCTGGTTGGTTCTGAACAAAGCACTGCCCAGTCCTGCACCATCCTCACAATCGTTGCTATGTTTGAGCCCATTGTTGAGGCCACTGTGTCAATCCATGTCATTGAGGGTTTTCCTCTTTTTCACTGACCCTCTATTTTACCAAGCATGATGTCCTCCTCTAGGGACTTGTCCCTCCTGATAACATGTCCAAAGTAAGTGAGAAGTCTCGCCGTTCTCGCTTCTAAGGAGCATTCTGGCAGTACTTCTTCCAAGACAGATTTGTTTGTTCTTCTGGCAGTCCATAGTGTATTCAGTATTCTTGCCAACACCGTAATTCAAAGGCATCAGTTCTTCTTTGGTCATTGTTATTCATTTTCCAGCTTTTGCATGTGTTTGAGGTGATTGAAAATGCCATGGCTTTGGTCAGGTGCACTTTAGCCCTCAAAGTGACGTCTTTGCTTTTTAACACTTTAAACAGGTCTTTTGCAGCAGATTTGCCCAGTGCAGTGCATTGTTTGATTTCTTGACTGCTGCCTCCATAGGTGTTGATTGTGAATCCAGTAAAATGAAATCCTTGACAACTTCAGTTATTTTCTCCATTTATTATGATGTTGCTTATTGGTCTAGTTGTGAGGATTTTTGTTTTCTTCATGTTGAGGTATAATCCATACTGAAGGCTGTAGTCTTTGATCTTCGTCAGTAAGTACTTCAAGTCCTCTTCACTTTCAGCAGGCAGGATTGTGTCATCTGCGTATCACAGGTTGTTAATGAGTCTTCCTTCAGTCTTGATGCCGTGTTCATCATATAGTCCAGCTTCTTGGATTATTTGCTCAGCATCCAGATTGAATAAGTATGGTGAAAGGATACAACCCTGATGCATACCTTTCCTGATTTTAAACCACTCAGTATCCCATTGTTCTGTTCCAGTGATCGCCTCATGGTCTGTGTATAGTTTCTGCATGTTAAGTGTTCTGGAATTCCCATTCTTTGCAATGTTATCTGTAACTTGTCATGATCCACACAGTCAAGTGCCTTTGGATAGTCAATAAAACACAGGTAAACATCTGTCTGCTCTTCTCTGCTTTTAGCCAAGATCCATCTGACATCAGCAATGATTCCTTCATTCCATGTCCTCTTCTGAATCCAGCTTGAATTTCTGGCAGTTCCCTGTTGATGTACTGCTGCAACCGTTTTTGAATGACCTTCAAAAAAATTTTATTTGTGTGTGATATTAATGATATTGTTGGATAAATTCCACATTCTGTTGAATCACCTTTCATTGGAATGGGCACAAATATGGATCTCTTCCAGTCAGTTGGCTAGGTGGCTGTCTTCCAAATTTCTTGGCATAGATGAGTGAGTGCGTCCAGCCTTGCATCCATTTGTTGAAACATCTCAGTTGGTATTCCGTCAGTTTGGGGAGCCTTGTTTTTCACCATTGCTTTCAGTGAAGCTTGGATTTCAATACCATTGGTTTTGGAACAATGAACCACTACCTCCTGAAGTGGCTGAACATTGACCAATTCTTTTTGGTACAATGACTCTGTGTATTCTTTCCATCTTCTTTTGATGCTTCCTGCATGGTTCAGTATTCCGCCTGTGGAATCCTTCAGTATTGCAACTCGAGGCTTAATTTTTTTCTTGGGTTTTTTCAACTTGAGAAATGCTGAGCATGTTGTTCCCTTTTGGTTTTCTAACACCAGGTCTTTGCACATTTCATTATAATGCTTTACTTCATCTTCTCCAGTTGCCCTTTGAAATCTTTTGTTCAGCTCTTTTGCTTAATCATTTCTTCCATTTGCTTTGGCAACTGTACATTCAAGAGCAAGTTTCAGAGTCTCTTCTGACATCCATTTTGTTCTTTTCTTTCCTTCCCGTCTTTTTAATGACCTCTTGCTTTCTTCATGTATGATGTCCTTGATGTCATCCCACAACTCATCTGGTCTTCGGTCATTGGTGTTTAGTGCATCAAATGTGTTCTTGAGATGGTTTCTAAATTCAGGTGGGATATACTCAAGGTCGTACTTTGGCTCTTGTGGACTTGTTTTAATTTTCTTCAGCTTCAGCTTGTACTTGCGTATGAACAATTGATGGTCTATTCTGCAGTCGGCCCCTAGCCTTGTTTTGACTGATGATATTGAGCTTCTCCATCATATCTTTCCACAAATGTAGTCGATTTAATTCCTGTATACTCCGTCCAGCAAGCTCCACGTGTGTAGTCGCTGTTTTTGTTGTTGAAGAAAAGTATTTTCAATGATGTCATTGGTCTTAAAAAAAAATTCTGTCATGCAATTTCTGTCATTGTTTCTTTCACCAAGGCCATAGTTTTCAACTTCTGATCCTTCTTCATTTCCAACTTTCACATTCTAATTACCAGTAATTATCACTGCATCTTGATCATATGTTTCATCAATTTCAGACTGCAGAAATTGGTAAAAATCTTCAAATTTCTCATCTTTGGCATTAGCGGTTGGTGTGTAAATTTGAAGAATAGTCATATTAACTGGTCTTCCTTGTAGGTATATGGCTATTGTTTTATCACTGACAGCATTGTACTTGCAGATAGATCTTGAAATGTTCTTTTTGACAATGAATGTGACACCATTCCTCTTCAATTTGTCATTCCCAGCATAGTAGACCATATAATTGTCTGATTCAGAGTGACCAATACCAGTCCATTTCAGTTCACTAATGCCTAGGATATCAATCTTTATGCATTCCATTTAATTTTTGATGACTTCCAATTTTCCTAGATTCATACTTTGTACATTCTGCGTTCCAATTATTAATGCGTGTTTGCAGCTGTTTCTTCTCATTTTGAGTCATGCCACATCAGGAAATGAAGGTTCTGAAAGCTTTACTCCATCCACGTCATTAAGGTTGACTTGGCATTTGTCGTTTAAGTACGTTCCAACCTGGGAGGCTCATCTTCCGGTGCTGTATCAGACAGTGTTCCTCTGCTATTCATAAAGTTTTAACTGGCCAATTTTTTTTTAAAGTAGATTGCCAGTTTCTTCTTCTTAGTCTGTCTTAGTCTGTAAGCTCCACTGAAACCTGTTTACCGTGGGTGATCCTGATGGTATTTTATAGTGTATACACACACACACACACACACACACACACATATACACTAGAAGTGCTTTTTTAGGTTTCAGAGTATTATAGTAACTTTTTAATTTATATGTGTGAACTTATAAATATTTTTAAAGAAAATGATCATCAGGGAATAAGGCATTTATAATTAAAATTATTTTGAGTTGTAATTGCGAAAAGTAGTTCTAACTTACTGAAAATTTATCAGGTGTCTGAATATGTCTTAGTTTCTCTTATGAATTATTATAGTCTAAATTTTGTTGCCAGTTTATTCTTTTCCTTCCCTTTTAACTCTTTCCTATTTCATAGACTTCCAAATCTAGACTACATGGGAAATAATACAAGGTTACATCTAGTCATGTTGGAGACTATTGGAATTTGAATGAACCTGTTTTGTTTGATATTAATTATACAAGTATATGCTTTTTTAAATCCTTTTGGATAATTTGTTTCTGGAACACAAATTCTTTTCAATATTGATTCTGAGCTGTTTAGTAGATCCCAGAATTATTCTGTTTGTTTAAAAAATTTCAGCAATCTTTTGTATGCTTTTCAAATTGCAGTGGGGAGTACAAAAATCAAGTCTAATGTGATCATGGCAAGCACCTGCCTATCTTATCTTTTCCGGGGTGATCCTGATATTTAGGTATTTTGTGTCTGACAGTCTGTCTTTATATTTGGCTCAGAAAACATAGTTGCTGTAACTAAAGCTGGTTTCTAAAATAGGTAACAAGTGGAAGGACACAAATGGAGCTGTAAGGAATTACAGCCCAATGAATAAGGAGGTGCTATGGTGAATATTTGCTTTTAATTATCTGTTCAAGATTTATATTAAAATTGTGTTTTATGTCATTGTTTCCTCTCTGATACAGTTTTCAACTTGACCAACAATGTTGATTTGGACAACACCAAAAAGAAAATGGAGATATACCAGAAGGAAAACAAAGATGTTATTCAGAAAAATAAGTTAAAGCTGGTTGGTTGCTAAGTATTTTTTTCTTCTGTTGTGTAGAAACAAATGCTTCCACTTAATACTTTAAAATGCCTGTCCTTTAAAACCAGTGACATTTACAAAGAATTTAGTTGAAATTTAGACCAGAAATGCTAATATATGTATAAACCTGTTTCCGTTGAATCAATTCCAACTCATAGCGACCCTATAGGACAGATTAGAACTACCCCATATAGTTTCCAAGGAGCAGCTGGTGGATTGGAACTGCTGACCTTTTGGTTAGTAGCTGAGCTCTTAATCACTGTGTCACCAGGGCCGAATATATGTATATAGGCATATAAACAGGCAGGCACCTATTACTGTAGCAAAAGCAACTATGATGGCATTAATGTTAGACTGTGCTTTCTTAGGGATTGGATCCTCAAGGTAGGTAGTTGTTAATGCTAGTTTTGTCTGTTTGTATCATTCTCTGGTAGGTGTGTGTTTGGACAGTAGTCACAAAATAATGGAAGTTCGTTTTTATCCTTGGACGTTAATTTCTGTCTCATCAAAAAGGGGGAAAAACCTAGGTGGACGTTTATGAAGCTCCCAAGAGGGAGATAAGGAAAACAGACACACTATTTATTAGAAACTAAAATGAATTCATGATTAAATCAGAGGAAGAAATTAGTAAACTAAGCTTAACTCTGGTTTTTCTCTTAGTTACCTTTTTTGCTTTACTGAAATAGTAACAGTGCCACATATAAAAGTAATTTTGGTTTGTTTTAATTGATCTAATGTTGAAATTTATTTTGAAATATTTTAGGATTTAAATTCATTATTAAAAATGTATTCTATAAAGAAAAAGAAATTGTATGCATACAAAGATGTAATTGTCTAATTTATACAATTTAGTTATTTCTTTAGCTCAACTTGGCTTTCTAGGTTTTGGGGTAAGCAGGAGGAGTTACTTTTGAAGTACCATATGAGGAATTTGTAGTCATCTGTAAAAATGATACAAGTATATTTGGATCACATAGCTGGTATTCTCATCTTGTGTTTAGAAGGAACTTCCTCCTTACAGTGTTTCATTTAGGCACTCTTTCCTGCCATTGAGCTCCCAAGGAATTGACACTACATTCTCATTCCTTAAAAAGGTATCTAATTTCTGAGAGTATCAGTATGCTATAAATATTACTCTCCTTGCCCAGTAACCTTCTCTGGGTATATCAGAAGATGCACACAGACTAGAAATACCCAGGTGACTTGTTGCAGTAACCCTATTTAAATAAATAATGGAAAGTTGTTACTTTCAAATGAGTGCTTTGTTCATCCATTGTTTTAAAGTAGGAAATAATACTGAGTTGCAATGAAAGAACAATCTACTTCTAGACTGGCTGTGTTATTTTAAAGTAGGAATTTCTAATTATCTTAAAACTTTGTAATGACCAGTTATTAAATAGAATAGATACTTTATTTTACACCATGAGATCATTTCAATTACTTTTATACTTCTGTATTAATGTTTAGCACTTGGATATGTTGTAACAGAGTGTCAGTAAGTCATGAACGTTTGTGAACTGATCATTCTGTGCAGAGCATTATATCTGTTAGTGACACATACCTGGGAGTTTGATATTGACATGAACATATAGGACCACATTTTAAAAAATGGTGCTAGTTAAGATATACCAATAACTATGGTATCATTGTATAGAGCCCTCAAGTGGCCTATGGAGCAGGCACTAACTTACATGGCTGATGTCTTTTTACTAACCTGAGGTAACAATGTGCCTTTTCTGTCTTTGTAAATGTTAAAGTGTCACTGTTCCAAAAATATTAGAATTGTATCAAAGAAGAAAAGGAAAAACAGTCTCTTGCATGATTAAACACATGAAATGACCCATTTCAGACACAGAGAACTATTATTAGGCAAAAGATGATCTACTCAATGGGCTATTGATTTGAGTTGTCTGCTGAGGAGATGGAATTGGCACCAAACATCAATCAGTGCAAGCATTGAGAAATTAATAAGGGTAATCTGATCTTGAAGTAGTCTTAGTGAAGATTATCTTAATTTTTATTTTCAGTTTTCTGAGTTCTCATGAGCAGTAGAGAGACTGCTGAGTAGAATATTTAACAATTCAGAAAAAAAAAAAAGAAAAAATTTCAAAGTAATAAACATTTTTTTGAACATCTGGCAAGCATGTAGTATACATAGATGAATAAGTGCCCTGGTCCTCCAGAAACAGGTCAGAATTTCAATGTCAAAAACACATGGAAAGAGCTGTGTACTTGCTGTTACTAGGACACAGAGGAGGGGTATCTAATCCAGTCTGGGAAGATTAGGAAAGGCATTCCAGGGGAGATGATGCCTAAATGGAGCCTTGAAGGACATGTAGAAGTTAGCCAGATGAAAAAGATGGGATCAGGATGGAGGTGGGGGCTACCACAAGGACATTCCAGGCAAGGGAAAAATCATGAGCAAAGGCAAGATGACATGGAGAATTCTGGGAGTTTTAAGTAGTTCTATGTTGCCTAAGTATAAGGAGATAGAGTTAAAGTTGGAAAAATAGAAAAGGCCTAGGTCACATAGGACCTTTTGTATTGTGAAAAGTAATTTGGACTTATACTGATTAGTTGTTTTTAGATTTTAGCAGATAAACCCCTTTTTTTTAAAAAAAATAAAATCTTACTCAGGATACTTTGGTTGAAGTAATGACGGGGGCAGGGAGAGAAGAAGATCTGCTTGATTTCTTCTGTAGTGCACCTTAAGACATCTTTTTATGGAATTCCCAAATTCCTTAGAGAAACATTATGAAAACCTTGTTGTTGATGACAATCATTGAAAGGTTTTAAGCAAGGTGATAACAAAGTATGTTCTTGTTAGGCTAGATTTAACGGCTTTGTGGAGGTTCAATTTGAGAGAAGCAAGCCTGGAGTGAAGGAGCCCTGGTGGTGTAACCGTAAAGCTAAGTGCTTGGCTGCTAATTGAAAGGTTGGCAGTTTGAACCCACCCAGTGACTCAGTGGAAGAAAGACCTGGCGATCTGTCCCCATGAAAACTATAGCCTAGAAAACCCTATAGGGCAGTTCTGCTTTGTTACATGGGGTCACTATGAGTTGAAAATCGACTTGTAGGCACCTAACAACAACAAACCTGGAGTCAGGGAGACTAGTGAGAGGTTATTGCATTCATGTAGGTAAGTTCAGAGGTGACTTAAGCAAGGAATGGAGAGGTAGGGATGCATTAGATATTATTTTGAGTTTAAAAATATCAAGTCCTACTGATGGATTAGAAGTGGGAAGTAAAGGAAAGGGAGGATGATTAGATAAGGTAAGGTTATTAAGAACACAGAGACCTTTAGTCTTTCAGCCTGTTCTTTCTCTCAGTCTAATGCCTTCTCCATTGCCCTCCCCAAAGTTTGATTTCTAGCAATGGTGATTTTTCTAGTTATTCACTCAGCTACCTACTAACCAGTATTTATTGAAGCCTTGTTGTTGTTATGTGCTGTTGAGTTGGTTTATTGAGGCCTACTATGTGCAAAATACTGATAATCTGTATTTCAGTGAGAAAATTGAGGTTACCTAATTGGTAACTATCTAAATTTCTCACCTTTATGCCTACAAATTTATCTTTATCTACCTGCTCCACCTTTCCTCTTGATCTCTTCTGGAGTCTTGCTCATTTATTTACTCCCTTTTCTATATTCCTAACCTCTCTGTGTCAAGTAGTGTTTTTCTTATCGAAGCAAACAGGCAAGCAAACCCTGTTTGTGGCTCCCCCCGCCCCTCCCCCCAAAAAACAAAATCCTCTCATGATCTTTTGTTACTGCCTAACTCTGCTTTCCTTGCAAGCAAGTTTTCTTAGAGAAAATTGTCCACCTCTGCTGTTTCCACATCTCATTTCACATTTATTTTCTGCCCAGCCACTGTATAGCATTTGCCCCATCACATCCCAGGAGCCTTTCTCCTAATGGTTGTTGATGACTCTCTCACTGCCAAAGCCCATGCATGTACTCTTTATTGGCCTGAATCTCATTTGACTTCTGAGCAGTGTTTGGTGCAGTCTTCTCCCGTGCTGTTGAAACCCTTGCCCTAACTTCTACGGCATCACTCTGTTCTCCTCCTAATATTACTGCCCTCACCCTCCTCTTTCATCGTTCTATGAGGCTTATCTTTTCTGCCTATCTTTTAAATGTAGGTTCTTTTTTAGTGCTTCTCTTTATGAGTTGCCCGTTTACGCTGATTACTTTCAGATGTTTCTGTAGCCTGTTGTTTTTCACTTGAGCTGTTGGAATTATATTATTTAATATATCCATATATCTATATATGATCTACTAGACATTTCTTTCTGGATGTATTACAGACACCTGCCTGTAATTCAGTATGTCAAGAATTGAACTTTTTATCTTCATTCTTCCACCGTTTCTCCTGTTATGTTTCTTACCTTAGTGAATAGCACCAGCATCTATCCACATGTTCATACCATATCTGGTCAGTCTTGATTTTCTGTTGATGGTCTCTCCTTATTGTGTTTCAAAACTAGTTTCTTTAATTCTACTATTATTACCTTATTTAGGGCTCTCATCATTTCTTTTCTGGGTTATTGAACTAGTCTTCTAACTGGTCTTCCTGTCTTCAGTCTTGAACCCCATATAATTTGTATACCTCCCTACATCTTTCTAAACCCAGCCTTCACATTCCCTTAATGTCTCTCTAGTTGCCTTAATGTGGCATAATAGACCCGCTATGATCTGTCCTCTGTTTGTCTCTCCAGCCTTACCTAGAGCTCTTTCCCACCCCCATACTTCATGACTTGGCCATACCAACCATAACAACTTGTTTCATGTCTTTGTGCCTTTATTCTCTCTGCCTAAATGACTGTTCCACTGTCCTATAAATACCTACTGTTTGAAGTCTTAGCTCAACCACTGTATGAAACCTTTTCTGAGTTTACATGTTTTTCATTATCCTGAGAAGAATTTGCCACTCTATCAATTGTGTCCCCACTACTCTATGTGTTTACCTGTTACACTTGTCATACATAATTGTTTATGCATGTCACTGTTTTATTATGGGGCTCATCCTTTTCTACTTCTGGGTCTTTAATCAAATGGTTCACTTTTCCAGCCCTTATATCTCGGGTCCTAACTTTGTATATTTATTCTTACTAATCCTTCTAGATCAAGTTTAAATTCCCTTCTCCACTGGGGACCTGAGCTAGAGTAGTGACCTTGGTAGTAGACGAGGAGAAGTTTGTAAGATGATTGGGAGGGATACTAATAGGACTTAGCAACTGATTTAAGAAGCAGAGGGAGTAAACAAAGATGAATTTGAGGCTTCAGTTTAACTTGTCAGAGAGGTTGGTGTACACTTAGCAGAAATAAGGAATAGGACGATGATCTGCTTTGGGAGACCAGATGTTAAACTTAATTTTTGTCAGACTGAGCTGAAAGTATAAGGGAAACATCTTGTCTGTATGCACACTTGTTTTTGGGAGTTTATCTAATGATGTATGAATTAAAAAACAACCTAATAGAGGGTCTTAAATATTATTTCACATTTAAAAATACACTTTTTCTGGGGTCTCTGTTAATTCATTTTACGTTAGTGATCCTCAAATTTGTCCTCTCCTCATTCTGTATTTGCCTTTAGGTGCCGTAAATTCTCAGTGGTCTGTTGAACTTTTTTTTAGAAAAGTTACTATAATATTTTTAAGACTAAGAGTGAAGTCTTTAAAATAAAACCATTCAGATTTTACTGTATTTCTCATTCATAAGACTTAAAGAGCAAAGAATAGATATTAATATTAATATAAGTAAGAGCTGGGATAAGTTTCAGAGCCTGGAAGTATTTAATATTTCTGAGGAACTTAATCAAGGGGAAGCAAGTAGACCTGTATTTCATTCTTTTATACATTAGTTTTCAGTTTTGAATATTTCAGTCTGTAAGGAGGAGTCTTGAAATTTATATGTTTATGTTAGAAAATAAAACTTTGGTTTTTCAAAACTTAGCTTAAATGATTGCTATTTGGGATGCTACCTTCATAAAGACTTATTTTAGCCTGGGAAAAAGAAGCTTGAGTATTGTGGTAACTTTTCACTATCTTACATGTTCTGAAAACTGTTTCTATTAAAACCAGTCTATTAAATGGAGTGTTTCAGTCAACAGTTCTGTATGTAGATTGTCTGATTTTTTTTTTTTTTGTTAAATCCCCTAAAATGAATGACTTGAAACAGTCTGTAATAATTTTAAATAATTAAACCCATTATTAATCACAGTCCCTACAGTTCTACAGCTGGGACTAATGTACTTTGTTTAGGTGTTGGTTTAGTGCTAGGTGTCATTCTCTTTAATAGTAACCCTATCCATCTGAAATAAAATGAAATCTAATTCCTTCAAAGTGGAATTGCTGCACTATTAAGCAATACGTAATTAGTGTGTTTTATGCTTACAAAAAAGAATTTGATCTTGATTATTAAATTTAATCCATCCCACATATAAATATTTCTGTTTTAGACTCGAGAACAGGAAGAATTGGAAGAAGCCTTAGAGGTAGAACGACAGGAAAATGAACAAAGAAGACTGTTTATACAAAAAGAAGAACAACTGCAGCAGATTCTAAAAAGGAAGAATAAGCAGGCATTTTTAGATGAACTGGTGCGTATTAATACAAATTAAGATAAAAAAATTAACATTGCTAGTCTTCAGGGTTCACTTCTCCTACTGCATGATAATGGGCATCTAAATGGTATTCCTACAATGTTTGTGCCCTGGTTCACCTTTGGCTTTGGTAGTTGTTTCAGTTACTTGTTACTGAATAAGAAGCTACCCTCTCTTCCCCCCAAAACAATTATTCTTTTATTTATGCTAATAATTCTGTGGGTTAGGAATTAGAGTGGGTCTCGGCAGGTGATTCTTCTGCTCCACGTGGCATCAGCTGGAGGTACTTGATGGTTTTGAGCTGGTGGCTGAGTCGGTCTGGAGGGTCCAGGAAGGTGTCACTCATATCTGGCATTTGAGGATAACGGGAAGGCTGGACTCTGTAGGGTTGCTCTCCTCTGTGTATACTCAGGGAACCTCTCCATGTGGTTTCTGCGGCAGTGTAATTGGACTTCTTCTATGGTGATTGAGGGCTACAAAAAAGAATATTCCAAGAGAAAGGAAGCAGAAGTTGTTAGTGTTTCAAGACTTGGGCCTGGAAGTTGGCACAGCATCACTTCCACCATATTCTGTTGGTAAAGCCCGCTCAGTTTCAAGGGGATGGGCTGTAGATCTCACTTCTTGATGGGAAGATTGTCAGTGAATTTGTGGCCATCTTTACTCCACGTATGATTTGCTTGAAAAAATGGTATTTTGCATAGTATAAATTCATTTGATACTCAGCCTCTAACCCAGAGTGAGTTTGTTGCCATTGAGTTGATTCTTACTCATGGAAACCCCATGTGTTGCAGAGTAGAACTGATCCATAGAGTTTTCTTGGCTGTAATCTTAACAGAAGCAGATTGCGAGGCTTTTCTTCCATAGTACTGCTGGGTGGGTTGGAACCGCCAACCTTTAGGCTAGCAGTTGAACGCAAACCATTTGCGCCACCTAGGAATCTTAAAATGAGTTTCCCCTTGCCTTTGAGTTGATTTAGACTCAGCTACCTTATAGGACAGAGCAGAACTGCCCCATAGTGTTTCCAAGGAGTGGCTGGTGGATTCAAAGTGCTAACCTTTTGTTTAGTGGCTGAGGTCTTAACTGCTGCACCCCCAGGGCTCCAAATACAATTAATTGAATTAATTCTAGACAATTAATTGAATTAAATTCCAAATTTATACCATTGATATGGGGTGAATATTTGCTTTTAACATTTCACATTCCACCTAGTATGAAGGATTTTTAGACTTTGTTTTGAAGTTAGCTAGTTTTGCCTAGCAGTTACTCTTGCATATCCTTCTAGTCCTCAAAAGTACCAAATTTTGCTGCCTCATTGAGCTGCTATAGGCATGAAGCTCCCCTTTAATTCAGTGGCGCATGAAGCAAGATGTGAAACTGCCAGTGTTATACATTGTGAATAATCTGGAGTTAATATTGGTTTTTGTGAGTCTCCCCCCCCACCCCGATTTCCTGTTTTCTTCACCTGCAAGTCATTACTGCACATACTTTCCTCACTGTTTAGATCATGTAACATGGCGGTTAAATAATCCATAGTAATTTACTGTATTCATTAGTACAATTAATTACAACAGATTGGTTTAGAATACCACTGCAATTTGAATTTCTAGTTTCCATTTTAATTTTTGAATCTTTATTAATTTTTCTTTTGTTATAAATGTTAACAACCTTTTAGTCCTTACTGACTAATTGAAAGAATCCGCTATAGAATACATTGTATTTCTTCTCCTGTGTATGTTCATATGTTAGATTTTATTTAAAAAAATAGCATTGATATATGTAAATACATCTAGAGGCTTAAAAGTTAGAATTATTCTCTGGACCTAAGTTAGGCAACAACTACTACTATATATATTTTTTCCTCCTGCTTTTGGATTTGGTCCTTGTGCCAAAAGTCACTTTTTAACCTTTTAAAAAGCCACTGGCATTGCATTTAGGCTGTATGTGACGGGATTGTAATGTTATAGTCCTAATGTTTATGACAGCATTTGCCATAATGTTGCTTAAAAAGTCAATTTATTTAATCCTAACTATAAATTAAATTTTTTTTCCAGTTTGGAAAAAGATTTTTAAATAGGTCCTTACTCGTTAAATCTTTTTATATTCCTGTTTGAAAATTCTCTTCAGTTTATATCTTAAATCTTGTATGAGTTAATTTTGTTGTCAAACCCAGTAGCTGATTTTTATTAGAAATATAGTTTGCCAGATGGCTTGCTTACAGTCAGTTAAAATAATCTTTAAAAAAATGGTCATTATAAAGCTTTTAATGAGTATTACAGGCAACCTTATTAGAATTTCTTTTAATATTAAACAATGTCCCTTCAGGCAACTAATATAGATTAAGGAACCTTTCAAAGGAGCCCTGGTGGCACAGTGGTTAAGCACTTGGCTGCTAACCGAAGGGTCAGCGATTCGAACCCACCAGTGGCTCCGTGGGAGAAAGATGTAAAGATTACAGTCTTTGAAACCCTATGGGGCAGTTCTACTTTGTCCTCTAGGGTCTCTATGAATTAGAGTCAACTTACTGGGAGGAGGGGTTTTTTTCTTTTTTTTTTTTTTGTGAAATAACTTGAAAGTTCTTAATCTGCATTTCATGTATTCCCCAGAGCATGTGTGTGTCACCTAGTTCATTTCACTCTAGATTTTTTGTTGTTGTTAGAGCTCTTGCTTCTTTGTAGTTTAACACTTGGTAAGGCTTTTAAGGCTCCAAAGTTTTGAGTGCTAAAGTAGAATAAAGCTGGTTTGAAGTAAAATCTATGGCTTAGTATTAAAATTAGGTTTAGATTCCTAGCCTGTTTATTTTTATTAAGTTTCGGCTGCTTTACCAAGACATTTAACATTCAGGTCATTTTTTTTGTGAATATGAAGCCAGGATTTAAACAGGCTAGCATTTTGATTAGAAACTTTTTAGAGTGATCATATTGTCTTGCTTTTTAGAATAAATACCAGCTATGGTAGAGCATTTGAATTCGTTTAGAGTATAAATTGGGAAACAGTGCTTTTACTTTATAGCCAAGAAAGTTCATTTTTCTTTTCTTAGTTCCTGCCTATGAAATAACAGCTTTTGAAAGATATTTTTGGCCACAGATCATTTAGGATGTCCTTTAATAGTACATTTTATTCTAAAATTCATAATGGAAATCTAGAATAGCTATAGGAATTTATAGCAATACTAGTTGCTACTAATACTGATGATTTATTGTAGAATATGGAAGTTAGTCAAGTATATTCTGATACTGTATTTCATTAGTTCTGCTTTCTTATTGTTAGGTCTCAATGATTTTATTCCTTAATGAGGTTATGTTTTATAAATAAATTTGTGCTCTTCCATTTAGTTTTAAACATTTTAACTTTTGTAACATTGCTCTTGCAGAGCATTTCGATTAGAACATCTTGAAGCGCAACTTTATTTTAGGACAATTCTGTTGAATTAAATTGCTTACTTTTTATTTGAATTATTTCTACATTATAACCTTAAAACAATTCCTTTAAGTATATTCATTAACCACATTTATACCTAAAAAATATTAAATTGTTGGATTTGGGAAGAAAATTAGAATCTGCTGTTTGTTCTTATACTGTGATATGTTAACAATAGGGTTTCTTCAGGATTATTTTGAGGTTAATAGTTTGACTCTTATTTCTGTGTAGTTACTATTTAAAAAAGTCTATAGGCCATTTGAACAGTATGTTTGTTTTTGTTGGTAACCTCTGTATAGGAGCTAGAAATGTGTTTGTACCTTCATACTTGCTTACAGATACAGAAAGTACTGTGTGTGTGTGTGTGTGTGTGTGTGTGTGTGTGTGTGTGT